TGTTGTTGGATGTAATAATGAACATAGCAGTCGTCATTTATTCCCGACATCTGAGCCGCTGAAGACGCAGTGGATTACCTTTGTTTTTGAAGGGAATGCGCCCCCGATCTACCTAAATGCGTTTATGTTCACGCAAATCATTTGTGATCCAGCCTCACCTACAGAAGAAGTGAGTACAAGGTTCTTTTATGAATCTTTGCAAATCACCTTTCCTAATAACGTGCTAGTTAGCAAGTTCCGCGGCTAAAGTAAACAGTATCATGAGAACGGCTCGTCACCTCACGGAAGAGAGGGGCGGGGTTCCTTATCATTTAAAGGAACATGCACTAAAACGTCTTGCTGAAAACAGCTGATTTTGACAAGGTAAAAAGGGTGTTGTTTTACACTACCATTGAGAAATTTTAACCAAAGTATGTTATAGACTTTTCATTAAGACCCTGAAGAATCATATCAACTTGTGGAAAATGGGCATCCAATGACCCCTTTAAATAAATTTGCATAAAGCTTCCACTAAAGTGATAGTTCACCCCAAACTGAAACTTTGCTCTTAATTTAGGGTGTCTCAATCAGCTCCCTAGTTCAGTAGTCAGGGCACTGATCAGGGAATCAGCCATTTAAAGGGCTGTCTCAATCACTAAATCCTTCCAGTTTACTGGAAGTTTCGCTCCCTGAAAAATGTCACAGTGCACCGCAAAAACCAGAGAGCATCGATGCTCACTATGCTTCCTTACTGTCAATTACATCATATTTCCAAAGCACAAAACATAAAATGCACAAGCCAACTCACTAAATATAATAACACGATAGAAGATTTGAAAAAAAAAAAAAAAAAATGTAGTATAAACACACATCGCTAGACAGGTAGTGAACACTGGCCATCCAAGATGTAGGTAATAATGTTGTAAATAATGCTCATTTTCTTGCACAGACCAATTGTTTTGCTTCATAGGAACTAGGCCTATAAGTTTCAAAAGTATATTGTCAGGAGCAATTGGTATTAATTTTGCAATGCCTGATATGTTTTTTTTTCTTTTGACTCTCAAAAGTGATGGCAGCAATTGGCTTGCATTTTATGAATCAACAAGGACCATGGTTTTAGCTACTAATCTTCTTTACTGTTCTACTGAAGAAAAAAGTCACCCACATGGCCTGAGGTTGAGTAAATTAACAGCAATTTTACATTTCTGGGGGGTGAAGATTACTTTAAGAAAAAATGGTCTGCAACATAGAAAAAACGTTGTTACTAAGCCTAGTAGCAAGACTTAGCATTAGTTTACACTTTATTCATCTGCAATACAGCTTTGATTTTTCTATTATTTTTTCAGTCATAGGCTACATGTTTTTGGGTCCTACCGGTTTGATTACTTCAGAGTTATTGTTTTCGCGAGACTCTTGAGCTTCTAGCCATCTCAAAGTTTTATGTTCACCATAAAATAATAGCTACTGAAGTCCTCCGAGGCCATTTTAGAGCCATGACGGTCTCACACGGGAAAGGGCGGCAATTACCTATTCAAACCAAACCTGCGTTTATGTGACAAAAGCGATTCCATACAAGACGCATCAAAGTAGTAGGCTACTGGTACGTAAGCGTTATTTAGTATAAAATTCTTTAAACAATAACACTTACTGCACTTAACAACAGTAACAATAGTGGTTATTTCCAGTGTTGGGGGTAACTCATTACAAGTAATGCGAGTTACGTAATCAGATTACTTTTTTTCAAGTAACTAGTAAAGTAACACATTACTTTTTGAATTTACAAGAAAATATCTGAGTTACTTTTTCAAAAAAGTAATGCCAGTTACTTTGTTTTCCCATTTATTGACTGACAGCTCTCCTGTCCCCATATTGGGAGAAATCGGGAGTACAGAACAATCAAGCCCTGCTTATATTTAAAAAGTAACGCGAAAGTAACGCAGAAGTAATATAACGCATTACTTTCCATCAAAAGTAACGAAGTAACGTAATTAGTTACTTTTTTTAGGGAGTAATGCAATATTGTAATGCATTACTTTTAAAAGTAACTTTCCCCAACACTGGTTATTTCACAGTGCGCTGAGGACATCTGCCTTTGTTATAGAAGTGATACTTTCGCTGAATTCATACACGAGTAGGCTACCCAGCTGTGGCTATAATAGTGCACAGTGAGTCCATGGCTCTCACAACACTGTATTCAGGAGAATAAAGCCCCTCGAGGCTTATGCAATCTTAACCAAAAGCATAAAAATATTACAAGCAAACAGAAAATGAAAAGCGTTGTTTGACGCTCCAGCTCTTGCAGTGTAGGCGGTGGCTTTAATTATGTTAGGCTATGCCCAAAATTATATTTGCATATGAGTATATGAAATTCGTTCATGAATTAATGTAAGCATACATCTTTTGAGTGTGGTGGAATGAAAGAGCCTATCTGATAGCAGGCTGATCAAAAGAATCCTTTGGAACTTAATTAACAAGATTAATTACTAGCTTGTTTTGCCTCAATTAAACTAGAGTAAACATAATAATGCTAGATAATTGATTAATCAAATATGATTCAAATAATATATTCTCTATAGAATGTTTAAAACTGAATCAAAATACAGAAAACATAGTAATGGATTTATACCTGACCAAGAGGGTAAAGAAAATTAAGCTCATATATCATATGCAGTCCTCGCTACCAAAGTTTACACGAATAAATAAAAATGCTGTGCTAGAGTGACCTCTAGGTGTCATGGGAAAAATGTATTTATAGTGATAACAAGACTGACTTAGCTTTGCCCTCTGCTGGTGGCTTTAATGCACAAAAATCATTGCACACACAGATACAATAAACACATAATCCTGTGAGCTTTATTAAGTTATTATGCATGTCCTGTAAAGAATCAAACAAACCTACAATTAGTATTTATTTATTTTCCTTTTGTGCAAGAGTATTACAGAGAGTAACAATTTGTCATTGTCTTAACAGTCACAGTCAGTGGATTCAACAAGGCACACACACACACATACACACACACACACACACACCTCTAAAACAAACTTCCCTCACATCAAAGCAAATATTTAATACACAACCCACATGGAGAGTACATTGTTTTGAGAAGAAAACTTTAGCTCGTATTTCATACTACATAAAGATCACTGTGAAAACAGACAGGAAAAACAAGTTTAAAAATACATAAAAAAGGCTAACGTTTTGGTGTGGAATACTGTAAATAATCCGAAGCTGAGTTAGGACAGGTTATTCAAATACATATCTAAAAAACTTTTTTGTATCTATGCAACATTACTGATTAACAACTGATACACTAACATGCAAAGTAAGCATAAACAAAAGCAATACTGATAGACTGACGAATTTCCTTCCTGCTCAGTGCTGAAAAACATTAGTCAAGACAAAGAATGAACCTTTCCGAACAAACAAATTATGAGACTTTATGCATTTATGTATCAAATCCAGTTCAGTTTGCTCATACAATTAAACTGAATCCCTATTCTCAAATAAAATAGGTAGACTGCTTAGCTTTACAAGCTAAAACTATTCCCAGTGAAGCGACTTTGTCGTGGTGGTCTATAGAGAAAAGTTGTACAGTGTGCATGTTTAAAATCCCATCATAGCTGTTCATTAAACACAATTTAAAGGGAAGGAGGAAGAGAAAAAACTCATATTCAAACACATGTGAAACCTGCATTCAGACTTGGTCTGCATGTTTCAGATCCATTGATTGCTATTGTCTTCTATGTTCGTGGATGCGTTCAGCAGAGTGATTTAGGCCGCACTTTCGGAAAAAGCTGCATGAGAGAGAACGAGAAGAATGAGGTTAACTGAAGACCTGCCAAACATCACTGTCCACTGCATGCTTGTAATAGTATAAATATTAGGACATAAATGACCTTGTATTAACCAAGTAAAAATTAGAGGAATGTATGAAAGACAAAGGGTTGTGACACTTCACCAGTCGAACAGCATTTTAAATATTGCAGTGGAAGACACCAGCACATGTTTTGTATTTTGAATTCAATGCAGAATATTTAGGTGACAAATTTGAACACGAGTGAAATCTGCAGAGGAAATGTTTTCATGTTAAACTCTCAGTCGTGTGGATTCCCAAATAAATGACTATGTCACCTGCAAAATTCTGCAGAACAACGGTAAGTGTGTATGTACCCCTAGACCAGTGGTTCTCAACCTTTTTTTACTTAAAGGCCCCTGATTTTCCAACAAAATTATCCAAAGGCCCTCTATATTGGCTAAAATATTTCTGCTGTAATCATGAAATCGATGCTGGGAATGTTAATATATTACATAGAATTATTCAACCACAATTCATTTTGTGATCCAGAAGCTCCAATGATTCTGCATTTTCTTTAATTAAAACTTTATTGAAACAACCCATCTGTGGGGAAAGAAAAGAAAAAGAAAAACAGCTAGGGGAAAAAACAAATATGATTTCAGTCAATCTTGATTTTGTGTGTTTTTAGAATTTTAATGAAGTTATTATATATATTTAATTTAATAATTTAATGTCATCCCGTCCCCCCTTTTGAAGTTTGCCAAGGCACTCTGTTGGAATGTTGACCCCTTGACCTCTAGCTGACCACTATTTTTCTTGTAAAAGAGCGCTTCTTACCCCAAAGTAGTTGTTTGGTACGAAGCCCTCCCTGCCACACAGTGAAGCCCATGACCAGTCCACCCCTTCAGGCTTCTGCAGGATGGTCACCATGTCTCCTTCTTTGAAGCTCAGTTCATCTGGAGCCTGGGCAGGATATCCCCAAAGAGCGTACACCACCCCACTGTTCTCTACACCCATCGCTTCCTCCACACCTAAACAAAAACACACGCTTAATGGTGGCTAAAAGAAATTAAACTACTTCATACAGTGCAGCACTGTGCTCAGATTACTCATTGTTTATGAGTTAAAGGGTTACTCCACCCCAAAATGAAAGTTTTGTCATTAATCACTTACCCCCATGTCGTTCCAAACCCGTAAAGGCTTTGTTCGTCTTCGGAACACAATTTAAGATATTTTGGATGAAAACCGGGAGGCTTGTGAATGTCCCATTGACTTCCAAGTAAATAACACTGTCAAGGCCCAGAAAGGCATGAAAGACATCGTCAAAATAGTCCATCTGCCATCAGTGGTTCAATCTGAATTTCATGAAGCGACGAGAATACTTTTTGTATGCAAAGAAAATCAAAATAACGACTTTATTCAACAATTCGTCTCTTCCACGTCACCGTAGCGCCATTTTGGAGAGTATCCACTAAATGCAAACTGCGTATGCTGTTCGACTTGTCTGTGTCAGCTGCACCACATGGATACGTTTTCTACGTTTATTTACGCTTTGATCTGAACAAAAACAGCGTATCCGTGTGGTGCGGCTGACACAGAACAGCATACGCAGTTTGCAGGAGACGAATTGTTGAATAAAGTCGTTATTTTTGTTTTCTTTGCGTACAAAAAGTATACCCGTAGCTTCATAAAATTCAGATTGAACCACTGATGGCAGATGGACTATTTTGACGATGTCTTTCACACTTTTCTGGGCCTTGACGGTGTTATTTACTTGGCAGTCAATGGGACAGTCACAAGCCTCCCGGTTTTCATCCAAAATATCTTAAATTGTGTTCCGAAGACGAACGAAGCTTTTACAGGGTTGGAAGTAAGTGATTAATGACAAAATGTTCATTTTGGGGTGGAGTAACCCTTTAATAAGGGTGTATTAAAATGTCATTTCCACCCAATAGTTTATGAATTAGCTGACTAGTACTGACCATTGTTTCCAACCCATATGAGACGCTGATACTATTAACTCAGGAATGTACAGCTCATTGTGACATGCTAAATATAACGCTGGGAGTTAACGCACATGTAGGTGTTTGCGCCATGCAGTTTACCTGTGTACACAAGTAAAGTCTGTTTTCATTTTTCTCATGACATCACCCTCACCTCTCAGGAAGCTCTCACACTCCTCGAAGCCCGGGGCGTAGGGGTCACACTTCTGTGCCGCTGTGGCCCCATCACTGTCTGTCACGGCCATCACCGCTGCTCCGTTCCGCACCAGAAACTCACACATTTGCCGGTCATTACAGGATGCAGCGCAGTGCAAGGGCGTCCTGGTTAGTGAGACAAAAGTGAATATGTGCTGTTCACATGCAAATATATAAGAATTTATATATACACTTATTAAATTGATCATCTCACCAGCCGTGGCTGTCTGGAGCGCTAACGTTAGCCCCTATCCGCACGAGAAACTCCACCACTTGGAAGTGTCCACCACAGATGGCATTGTGAAGGGCTGTGATGCCTTCATCATTAGCCTGGCTTGGGTCACTCACCTATACAGGGACACACAAGTGCACTCTTAAAATGACAAACTGAAGAATTATGTAACATGAAACATTTACAAGTAGGATGCTTTTGCATTTTAACTACGTGAAAGACTTATTAAAGTTTTGAAAATGTCCCTATTTTTTCTAATTTATTTGTATTTTGTTTTTCAATATACATTTTTATGTATTTTTTAAGCATTTTATATATGCAAGAATTGTTATTTTTTGTTATTATTTTCATATTTATTATAATTTTAAATATTTTACATTTAGATTTGATCTGTGCTGGAGTATTATTATTATCATTAAGTTTTTTAGTTTCTAGTTAGAAAGGCCTCAGAACATTTTTATAAACATCAAAAAGTCCGTTTTTGTTCCTATTTTAGTGCACACAACAAGTAGTAATTTCTTAGCAACCTCAAATTTTTATTTTATTTAATCTTAAAATAATTTTTTAGCAAGCTAATTCACTGCTAGTTTTTATTTGTCATTTGTTTAAATTATTTTTAAAAGTTTTATATTCAAATGTAAAAAACAAAATACATTAAAGACTTGGTCTGTCATAATATCAGATTTTTATTTTTATCATGGTCAAGAGAATTCACAATAACAATATTATTGTGATATCTAACATAATTTTGCGGGGGGATTTTTTCTGTTTTATGACACATGGCAACCAGCATTATGATGCAATACTCCTGCGTACCATATTGGAGTGTCAACCAGTTACTGACACTTTATTATTTACAATATTATTTTATGTGCAATAATATCACAGTATTTCCATTTTTTTTTATATAATGGTTATCATCAATAGTGGTATATACTGACACACCCCTACCCTGTCTTACACTCAATTAAGTTGTGTGGTGCCTGTTTTTTGGTGTGCTGTTGCCCCAGACTGAAAGTAACCCTATTCAGTGCTGATGCTAGTTGCCACCACCTCTAAGCAACCATAGTGCAAGGTACCAAAGCAGTGAGACATACCTCCTGCGCAGCCCTCTGCACAATTTCTAACTCTCCTACTAAAGACCCATCCAACATCAGCACCAGTGGGCTAAGGTGAGCCCTACGGCTGGAGGATTTATTGGCTTTGCTGCCCTTCCGTAAGATAGAGTGAATACCCTGAAAGAGAAGAGAGATTCAAATCAAATATCCTCTTAACTGTCACTGGTCTCTACTGTATCTGTGTAATCTGTCTGCCCCTCACCTTCTGTTCGGAAGAGACCTGTATCTCTGTGATTGGTACTGGAACTATAGCTACAGCAGATTTGGAAGTGTCTTCCCCATCTGAAGAGCTGCTACTTTCAGCAGCTGGTTCTCCTTTGACACGGATGGTCTTCCTGCGAAACAGTTTATTGATCATTTGCTTGTAATGGTTGTGCGGTTGGGTAAGGGGCAGGTTGTGCAGGGTCTGAGGAATTTCGACTGAGCCGCGTTTCTTCAGGGCCCTGGGGAACTCGGCCCGGATACGCATCACTTCGTCCAGGTCAGTGTCCAACTCTGTCTGTGGGGCCACCATGGGCTGTAGACGTGTGGGGCTGAGAGGGCGAGGAGGCATCTCTGTATCCTCCACTTTACCCTCTTCTGGTTTCATGCCTTGGTCAGTTAAGTACACAGGGCCTTCTGTTTTGTCCTGTCTCTCAAGCTCCGCATCAACATCTCCAGGGTGAAGTACTGCTGATAAGAAAAAATTTATATAATGAAAATTTTAAATTGCAAACTGCAGTTAAATACATACATACATATATACAATACATACATACATGGGTCAAAGACAAATAAGAGTGTCCATAATAAAATAATAATAATTTAAAAATGTAGTTCTTTGAAATGTAATCTTTGTATTAATGGTTTTCAAAATGGTTTTAAAAACAAAGGATTCATTTACAAATATTACATTTTTGAGGAGTTGCACAACATGACATTTTCAAACTAAACTTGCCTTCATCATATAATGGTCAAATTATCTGATATTGTAATAGACTTACTGACCTTGACAGTCATGAGGGTCTGCAGGGATCCACTCTATGATATAATTTCCTGATTTATTTGTATGTTTTTCTGCATGTTTAACCACATGATTTTGATTTGGCAGGCAGTTCAAATATTAATATATAAAAAAAATACAACACTAAATACATATTAAATATTTATTTCATGAATTTTTAATATGTGTGGAAATGTTAATAATCAGAAGTAATAATAGAAATAATAATACAAGACTATGCCAAACTACTGTACATAATTATGTTTTATTTAAATAATTAATTTTAAGATTCCTTTAATGAGTTTTTAAAGTGATTTTACTGTATGTCCCCCTCAAAAAAAAAATCAAAATGAATTTTATTTCAGAAAACAAAAGCATTCTCATGACATGTTGTTTCAAAGTCACTGTATGTATGAACTGCATTTTTTATGTATTTTTAAATACATTAATAGATGCAGACCAAAAAATGAGTGTCAAGTCATTGACTCGTATACGAGTGCCTGTCGGCCCACTCATGGCTTCTGGTTGAAGGTACCTTCTCTATAGTAGGGAGGTTGTCTTTGAGGTTGCGGAGGTTGAGGTGTCCGATTTTGCCGCAGGTACTCTCGGGGCAGGGGAAGATGCTGGGGCTCTCCCATTGGGCCAGGGGCGTATCTGGTGACAGCCGCAGCATAGTACGGGTTCTGGAGCCTCATGATGACAGAAAGCGGGATCGGCCTCTGCTTACTGACTCCAGAGCTTTCAGGTGGAATGGAGATACGGGAACTGATTGGCTGAGGGCCGTAAGGTGAGCTGGTGCTTGAGGCGAGTTCAGGGGGCACTGAGATACGAGTGTTCCTCGGGAGCGAGCTGTGGGATGATGGGAGCGAACGGGACACAGTATTCTGATGAAAGAGACAGAGAAAGAAGCTATGAGAATTAGAGAACTTTTTCTTTAAGTGATAACATAAAATGGAAGCATATTTCTGCCACAGAATAAAAAATAAATTTCGTGATTGCGATCTGCAATTCTGACTTTTTTCCCTCAAAAAAAAAAAAAGTTTTTATCTTGCAATTTTGACTCCCCCCGGTATTTAACAAAAAAAACTGACACTTCTGACATTTTGAGATATAAACTCAGAATTGTGAGATCACAATTACCTTTTTTATATTTTTATTCCATTCCAGCTTTAACAGGAGAGTGCAAGACAGTAAGTAACAGTAACAGGCTTGTAAGAAAATGTGACAGCAGCTGTTGCCTGTTTCATATGGGAATTGTCTACACTTGTTTCTATTACCTGGAAAGTCTTAAAACATAATTATATACAAACATGATGTTTTTTTTTCCTATTGGTTCAACAAGTCAGAGTGGTTAACCAGCTGGCAACAAACCACTATACAGGAACTAAGAGGAAAAAGGCAAATGAAAAGACGTGTGGGAGAGAAAGAAAGAAAATGTCAACAGATTTGTCCTTGAACATCTTTGGCTCAGATCCCTGATTTCATTTGTTCAGTTAATTCAACAAATGCCATTTTACTGTAGTAGTGCCCTGAGCAAAATTAAGACACATTAATGCACATGCACCTACAAACATGTTCACACACAACACAAAGTCTGCATACCTTCTTAGCAGCAGGAGGTGCGTCCAGGTTTGATTCTTTCCAGTTGCTGTTGGGTACAGATGGTCTGATCCATTCATTCTCTACAACAAAAATAAGGGAATCATGTAATTAAGAAAGAATTAACATTGAGAGAGTGACTAGACTACAGATGCTGGTTTGTGCTTACAGTCAATCCTCTATTGCATGATGGTAACAAACAATGTCTTCACATTGCAAGCACACGACATGGCGATAAATGGTTAATAATGATGTATGGTTAAATGGTTAATAATGGAAGTTTGAATACTATCTTGAATTTTAATAAAAATGTAAAGATTGTGTAGAGCACTGGAGAAAAAGAATTAGAGAATATTAATAATAATATTGTAAACTTTTAGAGCACTGAAGTCATATGAATTATTTGTATATTATGAAGGCTTAAAGGGGTCATATGATGCAATTTCAAGTTTTCCTTTCTCTTTGGAGTGTTACAAGTTATCTTATCTGCATAGATTAGATCCCTAAAGTTGCAAGACTAAAGACTCAAACCTAAAGAGATATTCTTTATAAGTTTAGACTCGTCCACGCCCTCCTAAAATGCCTCGTTCAAACATGCCCCCACATGTCTGTCACTGTGTGGGAAGATTTACATAACGCCGCCCAAATGTTCACGCAAAGAAAGATTGCTACAAAGAAGCAATACTAAGTGACTGAGGAATAGACTGTAAAGAATTTATCATGCTTTATGTTTATTTAGATTTTCTTTGCATTATCCATTTCAAATATTTTCAATATTTTTTTAACCTTTTACTTTTTTAGTATTTACTTAGCATTTATGTAACATTAAGCAAATTAAGAATTCTGTCATGTAGCAGTCAAAGTGAAGTCTGATACACTGTTTATTTATTAGTTTAATAAATGTGTTTCTTTATCATTTTTTATTCTGATAACAATATAAAATAGGCACTCAATTTCAATGAAAATATTTGAAGAACAGAAACGGGCCTTTTAATAATTTCTTTTAATTGTTGCCTCCAGGTTAAGTAATGAATAATGCAAATGTATGCAATCCAACATGAGTTTAAAATGTTTTTTTTTTTAATGTTGCTATCAAATAAACATGAAAATTGTGTAACTCACTGTCATAGGTGTGGTGAGGCTTTTTTTCGTATGATGCATCCAGGTCAGTCTCATTCCACTTAGGGGGGTTCTTTTGCCTCTGCATTCCTTCTTCTGAAAGAAGATAGAAGAACAATCTTCTCAGTTTTTAACAAAACTGAGAGGCTCTACATTGTTTAATAAAGAAACAAACAGAATTTCATTATAGCAAACACACAAGTTTACTACCAACCAAAGACCTTCGGATCCAACTGTACACTCATAAGAAATAAAGCTTCCAAGAGAGTTTTTTGAATGCCAATGAAGAACCATTTTGAGTTTCCCAAAGAACTTTTCAGTAAACAGTTCTTAAAAGATCTATTTTTTCAAAATGTGAAGAACATTTAAAGTACAATGTGCAATAGAAATGTTTTATGGATGTTAAAGGGATAGTTCACCCAAAAATGAAAATTGTGTCATTAATTACTCACCCTCATGTCGTTTCAAACCCGCAAGACCTTCATTCATCTTCGGAACACAAATTAAGATATTTTTGATGGAATCTAAGAGCTGTCTGACCCTGCATAGACAGCAACACAACTGAAATGTTCCCAAGTCCAGAAACGTAGCAAGGAGATCTGTAAAATAATCCATGTGACATCAGTGGTTCAACCACAATTATACGAAGCTACGAGCATACTTTTTTGCGCAAAAGAAAAAAAAGCACCAGGGTGATGCGGAGGAGACGAATTGTTGAATAAAGTCGTTATTTTTTTTTCTTTTGCGCACAAAAAGTATTCTCGTAGCTTCGTATAATTGTGGTTGAACCACTGATGTCACATGGATTATTTTACAGATCTCCTTGCTACGTTTCTGGACTTGGGAACATTTCAGTTGCATTGCTGTCTATGCAGGGTCAGACAGCTCTTAGATTCCATCAAAAATATCTTAATTTGTGTTCCGAAGATGAACGAAGGTCTTACGGGTTTGAAGCAACATGAGGGTGAGTGTAATTAATGACACAATTTTCATTTTTGGGTGAACTAACCCTTTAAAGGTTCTTCATGGAACCATAGATACCAATAAAGAACTTTTATTTTTAAGAGTGTATATTTTTATGCATTTGAATACACTTAAGTCCCAATTACCTAAGGGTCTGAATGGCTGGAAGTTGCGTGGTAGCGTACTGGCTGCTGGTTGACTAAAAGGCTGAGAAGGTGCTCGATCCAACCTCGGAGACCTAGGAATCGAAGACAAGGGGCTCGCTGAGGGCTGCAGCGAGGTGCGAGAGGTTTTGTTTTCATAGGTAGGGCTGGATAGCTCCCCATAGCTCAACGATCCTCTTGTGCTTCGATCTTGAGGCCTCAACGGCATCTGTGTCATTCGTCTTATTGAATTTGGAGACATATTAGGGGGAGTAATTTGGTCGAAAGAATATCGTGAATCCGAGCTGTCTTTACGGTTTGTAAAAGAGGAATGCTGCTGGGTTAAAGGACTAGGAGATGAAGGCTTGAATTTCATACTGTCTAGATGAGGTGCAGGAGGTGAAGATCGAACTGTGACAGCAGGAGGAAGGTCCAGGTTGGATTCCTTCCTGCTGATGCTGGAGTCTGAGCTCAGGCTGCTCATGGAGCTCTGGGAAAAGGAGAAGCTTGTACTGATGCTCTCATTTCCATTCTTGTTTGCGCTGTACAAACTGCCATTGCCATTGCTGCTGCTCTGGGGTTTGGGGCCAGAACTCTACAAGAAAAATACCAAGGAAAATATTCACGCATGATGTCGGTGTCCACTAAACCAATATAGCCACATCTGCACCATCTAAAACTGCAATGTAGATGGAAACTCTGGAGGATTGTTTGACATCATTTAAAGGTGAACATACCATGAAAATCTGACTTGTGCTATAATCAGGTCCCCGGTGCATCTACCAACCCAGAAAACGTGAAAAAGTACAACCCAGTAAATTTTTGTAACTCGTGTGTTTTTAACATAAACTTGTGTATATTTAACAGTTTAAGCGCAATAAGACATGAAAGAGAGCTTAGTTTAGTACTCACATGCCATGTGACAGCCGCTTTCTGTGCGCGTGCTTCGAATGTGTGCGCTCAGAAAACCGCATATTAGAAGTTGAAACTAATATGGTTTAAAACGCATGATCTCAGTGCGATTGACATGATAATCAAAACCAAACAGATGTTTTTTTAGCAGAGTACAAGCTGTAAAGGAACAGTCCATTTGCATTTAAAGAGACATGCATGCATGTTTCTCCTTCCATTCAAAATAGGCATTTTCAAAATGATATAATAAGTGATCTGTGGGGTATCTTGAGCTGAAACTTCACAGACACATTCTGGGGACACCTGAGACTTATATTGCATATTGTATAAAGGGGCATAATAGGTCTCCTTTAAAGGCAATAATTAATTCTGTACCTCTGAAGTAGTGGTTTGCATGACAGGAGTGGCATCTGACAGGAGAGAGCTGAATTCCCGTGAAAGCTCATCTGCTGTGGCCAAAGATGCGCTCAGTTCATCGTTGATGGACTGAACTACAACATACACACACAAACAAACATTGAACAAACACACAACAGGATATAACAAGCCACTCCAGACCTATGTAGCACATTATATGCCATTCTGAAGACACTCAAAAAATATCAGCATGCTTAGACATGTAACCTGCTGCATCATGTCCTATCCTACATCGCCTACACATAGGAATTAAACATTACTGGTGTACTGAAATACTCACACAAAAAGCTGCTGCCAAAGTTGCCCTGGGAGTTCATGGTGTTTGTGTTTCTGTTTGTGTGACCTCCAATTCATTCAACTCGCTGCCTGAGTGAAAAAAGGAAAATCAGATCAATTTGACATTTTCCATCACAACCTCTAACAGCGTACCTGATTTAAATTAATCGTATCATTGTTTGGGAATGCATGGTATCTGACTCATACAGAAATATTAAAACCTATAATACATAAATACATTTTTTTGTTTACCTAGATAGACAGACAAACAGATGGATGGATAGATACACACACATACACACTGAAAACTGGAATAAACATCACATGAACAAATTACATTTCACAATATTACTGTTTTTTCTGTTATTTTTGTTTTTATCAAATAAATGCAGCCTTGGTGGACAAAAAATCTTACCGACCCCAAACTTTTAAAAAGTAGTGTGTGTGTGTGTGTGTGTGTTATATGCCAGACAGTGATGGGGCTAACGCATTAACAAGTTACTTAATCAGATTACTTTTTCCAAGTAAGTTTTTCGTCTAGTAACGCAACATACTTTTAAATTTACAAGAAAATATCGGAGTTACTTTTTCAAATAAGTAATGCAAGTTACTTTGTTTTCCCATTTATTCACTAACACCTCTCCTGTCCTGTGTTGAGAGAAATTGAGAGCGAGGTGCAGGTGCAGAGGAACTTCCTTCTGGTTGAGACGTTTCACTTTTGGTGTTGAAGGGCCTTTACTGTTGCCAAAAATATAGGCTAACTTTTTAGTTTTTTTTGTTATTAAAAATAAATAAACAAGCCCAACTCAGGTGACAAAAAGCAACACAAAATAACAATGCATTACTTCACAAAAATTGGTAACTGAGTAACGCAATTAGTTACTTTTTTATGGAGTAACACAATATTGTAATGCATTACTTTTAAAAGTAACTTTCCTCAACTCTGATGGCAGATGTAACAGATTCATGTGTCATGAATGATTATGTTATTCTGCATCTGTGAAAAGAAAAGCATGCCCAGCCTACTAAAACACTGACATACAGCAGGACTTGAGAGACAAGTGGACTGTTTTTAAGCATTCCAACACCTCCAGTTCAAAAACTGCCTACATTACATTGTACACAGAGAAACACCCTTTGTGATTTATGAAGTAGTCTGCTGTCCACATCTGACATCTGTTGCTGCAACCCCTTCTTTATACTAGTATAATTCACTGTGCACTGAAGGCCTTTGAATGGAGAGCTTCGACTCCCATGCAAATGGCACTAGAAACATGACTTACGACTTTCACATGCTTACCCAACATGAGTGAAAATAAAGACGTGAGCACTTGTGGGACGATAAGACACACAGATACAAAGTCATGCATATATATCTGAATCACATAAGACACGTTTTGTTAGACTTTCACCCTCTAAAAAACAGATGTTTATTAGTAATGTGTCTGTTCTTTGTGCATTTTTCGATGAGCCAGTCAGTTCTTCTGGCTTACTCAATACTGAGTCATCCAGCTGGCAGAATAACTTGTCCCACACACAAGGTCAAAAGCTGCTGCACGTTATAGAGAATTAGGTGTGAAAACATCACTCATCTTAAGTTAAAACATGCTACATCATGCCACTGTTGCCCTTTGTGATAATAATGATTTATCAGAAACATTAAGCTTACATTTGGCGAATGTTGAGTGGGGTTATATTTGTTACTATGGTTTAAATTGATTACCTGGCAGTTATTCACTTCCAGAAGATTCTTTGATTCTTTCTTTAATTTGAAGCTTTCACAGAGTAATAAACTGTGTATGTGTGTACATGCGCCTTTTGTACAAGGGCACTAACTCAAGCCACTCTGTCTTGTTTGTTTTGTCAAGATCAACAGAGTCTACTAACCCTTACTGGCTTATTGATTCACATTAGACAGCACGGCCTGGGTCACCTCCACAAACTCAATTCAAAACTCCCTCCTCCGTTCCTAAAGGTGACCAGATTTCTTACGTGAGCAGTCAGTATCACTGAAAATTTTCAATCTTATCTTATGAATTGAAAAACATATAGTTTTACTTAGGGTCAATGACCAACACTTTATGTCTATTTATGTCCGTCTCTAAATTTATATATATATATATATATATATATATGTATATGTATATAGACGGTACCGGAGCATCAGAGCCCGCTCTGCCAGACTGCTCAACAGCTTTTTCCTCCAGGCTGTGAGAGCCCTGAACTAAAATCACCCGCCTACTAAAACACTGACATACAGCAGGACTTGAGAGACAAGTGGACTGTTTTTAAGCATTCCAACACCTCCAGTTCAAAAACTGCCTACATTACATTGTACACAGAGAAACACCCTTTGTGATTTATGAAGTAGTCTGCTGTCCACATCTGACATCTGTTGCTGCAACCCCTTCTTTATACTAGTATAATTCACTGTGCACTGAAGGCCTTTGAATGGAGAGCTTCGACTCCCATGCAAATGGCACTAGAAACATGACTTACGACTTTCACATGCTTACCCAACATGAGTGAAAATAAAGACGTGAGCACTTGTGGGACGATAAGACACACAGATACAAAGTCATGCATATATATCTGAATCACATAAGACACGTTTTGTTAGACTTTCACCCTCTAAAAAACAGATGTTTATTAGTAATGTGTCTGTTCTTTGTGCATTTTTCGATGAGCCAGTCAGTTCTTCTGGCTTACTCAATACTGAGTCATCCAGCTGGCAGAATAACTTGTCCCACACACAAGGTCAAAAGCTGCTGCACGTTATAGAGAATTAGGTGTGAAAACATCACTCATCTTAAGTTAAAACATGCTACATCATGCCACTGTTGCCCTTTGTGATAATAATGATTTATCAGAAACATTAAGCTTACATTTGGCGAATGTTGAGTGGGGTTATATTTGTTACTATGGTTTAAATTGATTACCTGGCAGTTATTCACTTCCAGAAGATTCTTTGATTCTTTCTTTAATTTGAAGCTTTCACAGAGTAATAAACTGTGTATGTGTGTACATGCGCCTTTTGTAGAAGGGCACTAACTCAAGCCACTCTGTCTTGTTTGTTTTGTCAAGATCAACAGAGTCTACTAACCCTTACTGGCTTATTGATTCACATTAGACAGCACGGCCTGGGTCACCTCCACAAACTCAATTCAAAACTCCCTCCTCCGTTCCTAAAGGTGACCAGATTTCTTACGTGAGCAGTCAGTATCACTGAAAATTTTCAATCTTATCTTATGAATTGAAAAACATATAGTTTTACTTAGGGTCAATGACCAACACTTTATGTCTATTTATGTCCGTCTCTAAATTTATATATATATATATATATATATATATGTATATGTATATAGACGGTACCGGAGCATCAGAGCCACATGTAGCAGAATGACAATAAAGCTCAACTTGAACTTGAACTTGAATATTATATATTAAAAAAAAAACTGTTCACACATACAATGACTTGAGTACACCTACATGTTACATGCTGTCTGAATTCATGCTCTAGTTTGTTTGTATCAGTTATCGAATGTCAGGGTGATACAACTGTCCTGATATCATAAAGAAGAACATGAGAATGCAAATGAACAATGAGAATGAAAGCTTTATTTGGCAAATTAAGTTGTTTGGCATAATCTTTTATAATTATCTCTATAAAAAAAAAAAATTATTAACAGTGCACACCCACAACCATGCGTAAGCAGCTACTAGTGACAGCTAGTACTTGAAAATGTTATGAATGCAACTAGAAAAGTAACATGAATCTGACATAAAATAATTATTTAGATGATGTAACTAATAATCTAAAGAGACAGAAATTAGTAAATAACTACAAGAACTTTTTTTACATGTGCTAGCGTTCAAAAGATTGGGGTCAGCAAGATTTTTCAAAGACAGAGTAAAACAGTAAAATTGTGAAACATTATTACAATTTAAAATGTGTCTATTTTAATATATTTTACACTGTAATCTATTCCTGTGATGGAAAAGCTGATTTTCCAGCAGCCATTATTTCAGTCTTCAGATCCTTCAGAAATCATTCAAACATTTCCTATTTTTATCAATGTAAAAACAGCTGTGCTGCTTAATATTTGTTTTTGATCCATTCACGAATAGAAAGAACAGTATTTCTTTGACAGCATTCATTTGTAACAGTGTAAAAGTATTTTCTGTCACTTTTGATCAATTTAATACATCCTTGCTGAATACATAAAAAAAGCCACATTTTTAAACACTACTGTTACTGTATATAGACTGCAATTACCTCCTGTTCACTGAGTTTCTGGAATTCAAAAGATGAATTCCGCACTATACAGTATGTGATGAATGATATGCTTCTTTTTAACAGGCATGTGACATCTAGCACATTAAGTGTTGTTTTACTTCACGTGTTTTTCTGAACACGCAGTAAAACATCAGGGACATTTCCAAGGACAGCACCAGCCGGCGACAGACGTCTAGTCACCCTTTTCCTAAAAGCACAATAGTCTTCACCCCCCTGATGTATCTTGATATTTGTTCTATCTATCCTCTCACATTCTCTCTTTTTGCTACCTGTCCGATCTTAATCGCTGATCTCCACCTCTCATTCACTGCTCCGCAGTCATTTGCCGATTGAGACGTTAAGGCTTTGCGTGACTGATAACTTAGCACTTTAGTTGCAGTGCCGTTGGACTCAGGCCTGGTACAGTGAATCTGGAATGTGGAGTTGAGAGTGACACAGGCTAATAATAACTCTCGTCCTGTGCTGATAAGACCTAGCCCATTCAGAGCCTGGGGCGGAAACCACAAAGACTAAAAGATTAAGACAGCAGAGCTTTCTACTGATGGAATAAGGTGTGGTTACAGAAACCTTTTGCTCATGTTCTCTCTTTCTCAACCCAGTTTCACAATCAGTTGTTAAAGGGGTGGTTGATTGCAATTTCACTTTTTTAACGTTAGTTAGTGTGTAATGTTGCTGTTTGATCATAAACAATATCTGCAAAGTTACGAAGCTGAAAGTTCAATGCAAACGGAGATATCGTCTTTTAAAATTCTGGCGGTTTAATGCCTACAAAAACAGCTGGTAGGGACTACAACAAGTTACTTCCCGGGTTCATGACATCACAAACCCAGATAAACCCCGCCCCCCGGGAAAAGGCAGCAAAGGGGGCGAGGCCATGCTGCGCTGCTTTAGAGAAGAGGAAGAGAAAACTAGAGGTGAACGTAAAAATCTGTTCATATATGAATCGCGATTCTGTCTTCTAACGATTCTAATGGATTCACAAGTTTCAAAATCAATGTTCTAAAGCAGCGGTTCTTAATACTGTTCCGTGCGTCCCCCTGCTCTGCACACACTCTGCATCTCTCTCTCTTGCTCTCTCGCTCTCTCTCTCTCTCTCTCTCATTCAGATCATCAGCTCTATTCCATTTATACACTTATTTTCACATAGCTATGAGAAGCATTATACATGGACGTGCATACAGTTGCCGTACTGTATTAAAGCTTTAATCAGGATAAAACCATATATTAAAAGCTAACATAAGTAGTAGCATTTACACATAACAGCGTATCTAGAAGAACGAGACAACAACAAACAAAAAACATAGGTCTACCATTAAAATCTGGGCTTGCACAGGTTCTGCACGATCCTCTTCAATAATATCCTCTGCTGCCCTTTGCCCTGATCTGCATGATATTAAACTTTTAAAAAAATCATTTATTTATTTTACAAATTATTTATTTTTAATGTAATATTTTAACCCTTTTTTGCACATATAATGTTTATCATAGCCTACAACAATACATGTATTATTTGTTTTCAAAGCCTTCAAATTGCACTGGGCAGGATGTAGAATAACATTTTTGTAAATTATTAATTAGTTCTATTATAACTTTAATTAATTATAATTATAATTTCTTTATTTTTATTTAATGCATTATAATTGTTCTTTTTTTGTCATCCAATTAACCAAAGAAATCAACAGATAAATTATCAAAATAATCATTAGTCAGCCCTAGATTACAGGCAGGCTTCATTTGTAGAGTGTTTAGGCAGACACGCTTCTTCTTCTACACACCAATCCCTATTTTCAGACATGACAACAAATGTTACATTTTCATGAGACTTTTATTCATCAGTATGTCATAATGAAACAACTGCTGTGAGACTGACATCATGCGATATAAATACTGCTCAACCCAAGCTGCATTTAGATCACCACAGTTCTCCAGATGCTCAATTAAACAGATAGTTCACCCAACAATGACAGCTCAGTCATCATTTACTCACACTCAAGTCATTCTGCCTTTCTTCCATGGAAAACAAAATATATTTTTAAAGATCAGATCAGTTTTATTCGTCCTTTGAAATCAGTGTGGTCCACTGTTGTTTTGGACTCATTTGACTTTCATTGCATGTACAATAAATATCTTCTTTTTTGACCAACAGAAGAAAGTAAGTCATACCGATTTGGAGGAACATAAAAGTTGAGCGAACTATTCCTTTAAGTCATAATACTAATTATAAGTAACATATCTCAGACATGACGCTATCTCATGGCATTGAAACCAACCAAAAATTAAGCGTTAGCGTTAGTTCTGGCAGGTCACGTGAGTCAAGCTTGCATCAGCTGATTCTCAGCTGATCACATCTACCTATAGGAATACGACACCTATCGTGGCATTCCTCCTCCTCCATCCCCAGCTCCTCCTTTCGCCACAGTCAGGACTTGGCTTTCTGATATTCCTTGCTAATCAGACTCCTTTATCTTGAATAAAGTGTTACACTTAAATATCATTAAGTACATTAATGATATCTGCCTTGTTCTGTTCTGTTAACCCTAGGGGGGTTATTATTGCTGCTCTCCCTGCTCATTCATGACAGGCTGCATGGATGGGCAGGGAGTTTTTTGCCCAGAACAGAACCATACCGCCAAACCAAACTTTATGCTAAGTATCTATCATTTTGACGATAGTGGTCCTGACAGAACTGTCATTCATTGTAGACCACAAGAGTGTTTCAGATAAGAATGAATTATGGCATGAATTCAAACAGCATGTAACAGGTTTACAATTCAGTAGGGCCTTGCCAAAAAGGTGTAATGATTTATAACCAACTAAGACAGAGCAGATAAGAGTTTCATCGGATGAAGAATAAAATCTATTAAACAAATATGTAAATATTGAATATTGGCCAGTACAAAAGCTCAGAACTTTAAAGAATTAAAAGGATCAGCATTGATTACAAGGATCTTTTTAGAGAGCGGACACTCAAGAGCAGTTCATTCTGTTCTCAACAACCTTTATCATGACATGGACCACTGAGCGGATACAAAACACTTGGATCTGATGAGCCTCACCCCACTGTCACACTGATGCACTCCTAAAACTGTGGGCGGAATGTTCCTGTGAAAAACAAAAAATTACAATTCTGTCATCATTTTCTCATCCTCGTGCTTTATTTTTAATTATTCTGTGGAAAACTAAAGAAAATATTTTTTTCAAGATGTCTTTAACTGAATCTTTGAAAGTTACTGGATGTTCTTCAAAACATTCCACAGAAGAAAGTCAGTCGGGTTTGGAACAAAATGAGGATGAGTAAATTATCAAATTAGTGATGCGAAATAAAACTCCCAATACTGAAAAATCTACACAAAATCAGACGCAAATGCAAAATCACACAGATCAGCCTATTGCATGTCCTGACACTGTTGAAAAGTCAAAATATCAACTCAGAAATCAAGACATTTAATCAGATTTGGGTTAACAAGACTGGGGAGTGACTGGGTGTCAGGTCAAATTTCAGACAATGATGGCCCTTACAGAACATTGACAAAACCCTGTTAGTCATCCTGATACAATGGGTTGATTTTTATGTGTATGTGTATAATATATATATATATATATATAACTCAGACTCTCTCTGATCATTGATACTAGTTCTTCTCTGTTTGTTTTTGTGCAGCCCTGTGGCACTCTAAAGAGTCTCAAGTTGCCTCTGGAATCTCTCAGGTCTTCAAAATTACAAGTTTAACATTCCTTGTGAATCACACAAGATATCCAAGACACAAGGAATCCACCCTGACTGCATCTAACCTTTAAAACATAAACCACAGTGCACACAATGTGTCTGGCTGGCATGCAATTGAACCAACATGCAAATTGTCAGTGTTTACAAAGCTATAAGGGAGCCAGAAAACTCAGAACAAGTTGTAGCAGGATAAGACAGATATGTATATATGTAGCCAAAAAGCATCTGGCTTTCATCTTGACAGGCCTTATATTTTCATGACGCTTTATGTATTAATATTCTGAACAACACAACATACTACAAACTACAGTAGGCTATTACTAAATAAATAAAAGCTCGAATAAGCTTTTGGGTGATTCAAAGACATCATTCAGGTTGAATAATGAATAATATATTGTTCAGTGGACAGTTCAATGAGCACCGACTTCAAAAGCTCCTGCGTGGTGCGTTTTCAAGACATCTGATTTCCATTAAAGCGCTCTGACTCCTCGTACACCTCCTTACACAAAGGCGCCTTTAAAAAACTTTCGACATAGTACACATTTTTTAAATAATATAAAAATAAAAAAATAAAAAAAAGGTTGCTAAACCGGCCTGGCATAACAGACACGACCGAGTCCACTGTACAATCCACATCGCCTTCTTAAAGCCAAGTAAAACTGCGAGCTGGACTCTCAGTGAAGACTCAAAAGCACAATAACATAAATATTTTCCTGTACCTTGAATAGCTGTAATAGTTGTGAGGTTGTCGTGCCGTAAAGTCCTAGAACTCAGTCCCGCCGAGCATGGATGTGTTACATGGCAAGTTGGAAAACATTTAAACGGTGTTTAACTCTTGTCTGTGAAGTCCTGAGATATTCAGTCCAGCCCACTGCTTCTGAAACCCGACCCAGGTGCTCCAGACGCACAGCTGGCGCAGGTAAACAACGCGCTGTGATGGGCGCTGAGAGATTTATTTTATGTTTCTTATTGGTATCGTGATTGTTTTCATGCATTTATTTTAGAGCTATTTAGAATACGTTGTTTTGTGAAAAAAATAAAAAATAAAATTCATATACTATAAATATAAACTACGTAACAAATGGGGGGAATAATCTTTAAATCAATTTAAAAATTAAAATAATTAATAATTAATAACAATAAAAAACAAAGGACGATTAGAGTTATATTTTTCACTTAAAATAAAAAAATAAAATAATAATAATGCTAATATTGCGCGAAACGCGCGTTTTAGATCTCATGAATATTAATATTGCGTCATTAATATTACGCGAGAGCATCGTCCACATGACGTGCTTATCCTCCCGCCTCCTCAGATGACGCATTTTCCGCCAAGATGGTTGTCGGTGCCTTTCCAATTGCAAAGCTGCTCTATCTGGGCGTAAGACAATTGAGCAAACCAGTGGCTAACAGGATAAAAGCAGGCGCGCGGCGAAGTGAATTCTTTAAGAATTATATCTGCCTTCCTCCGGCTCAAGGTAGGCTGGCTTTTGGTTGTTCGTGTTTAACGATGTGACGTCAGTCCATATGATAATTGTGTCTGTAGGCGCAGCCAATAGCCGTTTGCTTGTATGTGCTATTTAGCCAATCACGACTACTGCGATGTTGTCATTGGGTGTTTTCAACTACAGATTTACCCAGAGACCAATGAGATGCTAGAAAGAAGGTTCCATTGAGACAAATGAGATTCGGGTTTGCTTAAAGGGGTGGGACTCAACTGTCATTGAGGTTACAGCGAGTAACTGAAAGTGCCTTTTGCTGCTTGAAATCTACTGAATGGACCCTTTTCACATTTTCGGGTTTCTCAGCAGCGGAAGTCGTCATAGTTGGGTTAACTTGAAGAGCAGTGAATGGGAGAGCACCACAAATATATTTTTTGCATTCCCAGTTGCTCAAATAGTAAAAGAAAAACTCCACGATAGTGTTTTCATGACTTTCAATAAAAGGAAAAAAATCGAGAGAGACTGATAACAGCTGTCTGAAGAGAGAACGATGTCAAATTTACCGTCTGTAAAATATAAAAAAAATACCATAAAAACTGATCATTTTGACCCATACAATGTGCTACTTATGACTGGATTTGTGGTCCAAAGGGTCACATTTAATATTATAAAGTAATATATATATATATATATATATATATATATTATACATTTTCATTTATTTATTAATAAATGTATATATAATATGAGAGCAATATCAACTATGTCTGATACAAGCTTTTTCTTTGGTTATATGTAGCCTTGTTTGTACAATATGCTATATATCTGAATTTTCAGGCAGAAGTAGATAATGTAATGATAATTAAATCAATTATTTCTTCTTTTTTTTATATAATATCATGTTTAAATGCTAGTCTCTTTTAATATATATTTTTTAATATTGTACTTTTTACATGCTAGTCTCTTTTTTTAATATTATAGCTTTCATATAGTAGTCTCTTTTTAACATTGTTATTGTTTGTAATCGTATGTTTTTTATACTGTAATCTCTGTTATGTTGGTTACCACGAGCATGAAGGTAAAACCAAAGTGTGTCTTAAAGGGGTCCTATTATGCTTTTTCACTTTTTCAACTTTAGTTAGTCTGTAATGTTGCTGTTTGAGCATAAAAAAGATCTGCAAAGTTACAAAGTTCAAAGTCCACTTCAAAAGGAGATATTTTATTTAACAGAAATCACTTTTCAAAAACTACAACGACCGAATTGTTTGGACTACAAGGCATATTTTCTGGGATTTGTGATATCACAAATACTGACGAATGGGGCGAGACCTGGTTGAGCTGCACTAGAGAAGGCAACGAGTGTTATCACTATGTCGGAGACACGCTAGCTTTCCCAAGGCAGACGAACTTAAAGTGGTTACAATCATCCGGGTTTAAATCGCACTCAAATTGATTTGATTTTGATGCAATATTTACACTGAAGCTCGCAGGCGGCTATGGTAAGGGGCATGACATTTCCCGACCAAGCGCCGAGTGCTGCCAATCACAACACACACTGGCCCAGCTAACCAATCACAGCACATTTCGTATTTCAGAAGGCGGGCCTTCATTTGATACAGGAACTATTCGAGCCGTTCATGTCAGACTGGGGAGAGAGGTGTTGTAATAATGTAAAATATGTGAAAAATAATGTGTTTTTCGAACAACCTAGTATGAGAGCCTGTTCTAGTACACCCCCAAAACAAAATCAAGACTTTGTAAAAGAGCATAATAGGACCCCTTTAACCTTTTTATTTATTTATTTTTTTTTTTTACGGTGGATTGTTGAAATAAATAGGTAATTCGGGTAATTCAGTGTGTGGTGCCTCTTGTTTTCTCCATAGCATATCACTGGATCGAGATGAGAACAAAGATGAGAATTATGGGTTTCCGTGGCTCCACCATCAATCCTCTGAATGAAGAGGCAGCTGCGGAGCTCGGAGCAGAGCTGCTCGGTGAGGCTATCATTTTCATCATCGGCGGAGGTTGCATGGTGCTTGAGTACAGCCGTCAGGCCGCCAACTCCAGGCGCAAGGAAGAGGAGCTCGCACAAACCATTAACAGTCTTCAGACACAACTAGGAGAGCTTGCACTAGCCACAGAGACACTGGATGCCCAGATCAGAGAGGTTAATAGACTTCTGTTGTCCCTCCCAGCGGCTCCAACTACCAAGTAACAATATGCATCACTAAAATACGCCCTTTCTAATAAGGGCAAAGAGACTGATTTATGAGAACATATCAGTAGTGGTGCAGCACTGCCATATATACACACACAAAGTCTAGGTTCAGCCATCCCACACACACACAAGGAAACCCCAGGTTATATAAACGAGGAAGGAACAGAGAGTTTGTGTGTGATTGGGTGACTGGCCACCAGTATAACACCTCCTATTCATTATTTGTTTGGTTGGATGATGCTGTTTTCAATTGAAAGTTCTAGTTATTTGATGACTCTGTTAAACCATTGCCAACGCTTTACCGCTTACTATTCTGCTCATCAGTTTGGACGTTATTTCATAACATTTTCTTCATATAATATGCTGATGGAGTTGGGCATTCATCATTTATTAATGATTTGAAAATGCACTTGAATTCTCGATACTTGAATGACAAATTCCATATTATATAGTAAATATGGATGTGTTCCTCGATATAGGAAACAGAGAGCCGTCTCTTTGTGTCCTGCAAGAAAATCCCCATTACATTAAAAGACTGCTGTGTTTAATATGGCATGTGTATATGGGTGTATATTTATGATTGTAAAATAAAGTGAAATATTCTGATGCTTGTTTTTTTTTTTTTTAATATATATATCTTGAATGTATTACAATTGTGAAAATATTATGTAATTGTGAAATGGCAATCTTAAATAATCACATGCGAAAGTTTTAGTAGTTCAGTTTTCATTGTATTCAAGGCACAAAATTCTGTATTTACAGACTTAAATTTAAAAATGGAAATATCATTCATTTGAAAAGCTTGAGCAGTTTTGAAATACTATACGAACTATGTTTAATACATTTTTTCTTTCTTTCTTTCTATATACCCCTGACATGTTTGGGTATATGTAGTTATGTTTGTACAATGCTTGTTTGTACTCTCTCTCTCTCTCTCTCTCTCTAACTCTCTCTCTCTCTGCAGTCTGAAATTCAGGAGAGCTGTTTTTAAGCATCTCATTTTTTATGTTGTCAGGGCCAGAGGATTTTTTACATTTGAGGGATTTCAGTTTTCCACCAAGTTGTTGTTGGGTTATTGGATAATCTAGTGGATTTTGGTTGTTTTTGATACATGATTCAAGAGCATTCAATTTTTCAAGAACTTTTAATTGGTTGGGATTATTCAGAGGGTCAGTTTGATGTGTATAGAGCTTCTCAAAATAATCTTTCCAAATTTGACCATCTTGTATAGCTAGTTCTTGTGGCTTTGTATTGTTTAGACTGTTCCACATGCTCCAGAACTGACCCTGATCAATTGTGTTTTCCATCTTCTGAAGTGTGTTGTTATAATAATCCAATTTCTTCTGTCTCAGTGTGTTTTTGTATTGTTTCAGAAGTTCTGAGTGCTTTGAGCGTAATTCTGAGTTGACTGGATCTTTGTGTTTTTGATTGGAAATGAATCGTAGCTCTTGTCTTATTGTTTTACAGTCATGGTCAAACCACTTTTCAGAAGGTTTTTGTTTAGCTCTATTTTTGTGTTTATATGTGGCAGTTTCATTTAAATTAGCCTTTTTTTGCTATATTTTCAAAAATGTCATTAATATGTTTAATTGCTAAATTTATTCCTTTCCAATTATTATCATATGTTGAATTGTTAAACAGTGTTATGGAATTGACTATTTCATTTGACTTCAATACTTTAATATATGTTTCAGCAGCACTACGAGTCCATCTATATGGTGTTTTGAGTTTATGTAGATGAATTGGCTTTTTATGAATTTCCCTTGATTTGCTGTTTTCCCCTTTAATGAGAAGATTGATCTGGCGGTGATCAGACAGGGGTGACTGGGCTTTGACGGTAAATGCACTGAAATGGGAAGGGCTTATATTTGATATGGCATAATCTACAACACTGTTCTCTCTCTCTCTCTCTCTCTCTAACTCTCTCTCTCTCTCTCTAACTCTCTCTCTAACTCTCTCTCTCTCTAACTCTCTCTCTAACTCTCTCTCTCTCTAACTCTCTCTCTAACTCTCTCTCTCTCTAACTCTCTCTCTAACTCTCTCTCTCTCTAACTCTCTCTCTAACTCTCTCTCTCTCTAACTCTCTCTCTATCTCTCTCTCTCTCTAACTCTCTCTCTCTCTCTAACTCTAAGTCTTCTATCAGCCAGCAAGTTGACCGAGCAAAGCCACTCAGCCAGTGAAGAGCAGACGCAGGAGACAAAGTGTTTATGATAAAAAAAGAGCAAAGTGTTATGTCACAGGCAAAAGCAATGGAAATTACTGCTTCACAACATCACATAAACCTTGAATTTCCATAAACATTCCCTCTTATCACTCATGAAGACAAACATCCCTTGAAACCTAAGACTAAGATGTGTTAAGACTAAACAACAATGGAAAAATAATATAAAAAGTAATAATATAATATAAAGAATAATCGATTAATGAATCTATTAAGTGAGTATATAAATGGCTATAATGATTACTATTAATTACTATGTGATTACATGGAATGATTAAATGATAAATGAAGAATAAAAGAAAGAAAGTAAAAAAACAAATGTATGGTTGCTCTCTTGAAGCAACACACAGAGTTTGCATGTGAGGATCCTTAGATCCTTCAATATAGACTATAATTACAGAACATTGAGAAGCCACAAAGCATAAACTAGTGTAATTTAAAAAAAACAACAACATTTAATTAATTATTAGCTTTTCATCAGTTTACAAATCCCCTGCACTTCCTTCACTAGCCCCTGGTTGGGAAACCCTGACAGTGTAATGTTTCATGCACTTCATAAAGAATCACTAATGTGCTTAAGTCGAGACACTTTAGTTTTGCCAACAAAAATATTTACATTTCTTTACAAATGCACATATTACATTTTATTGGGTAGAAGTGGATTAAAAAAGAGTAACATCAGTAGACATTGACTGGGCTTGATAATAAACTGAATACTAAAGGAATGCATAGTGACTGAATTATCAGTATATTCCATATGTGTCCAGAAGGTGGCAGCACTCAAACACTTTGGACAACACTCGGTATGTCTTCTGCTGCCTTGTACTGAAGCCCGCGCTGTCAAACACTCTCCTTCAACTAACCAAGAGCTTGTGCTATGGTAAGCTCATGACACCTTTTTAACTGACATTTTAGAATTTGCATTAGAGAAATGCACGTCCATTTACATGAGCTGAGTTAACATTAGCTGGCATAACATACCTCATAGCTTGACAAAACAGACATGTGCATGTGTCATTTCTCATATCACATCATAATGTGAATGCATTTAATGAATTGCAGTAGATGTGCCTGTTTGCCAATGCATTTACTACACAACTTATGTGTGCACATGATTTAGCAAATTAGCTGGGTAAATGTCCCACACTGTCGGTTTAAACTGGTAGCTGTGTTTTGGAAACTGATAGCTGGTTTCTATCTGGTCTAACCATGTCATTAGTAGGTCCAAGTTGGTTATTAACTGATTAAAGCTGATAGACCATATCTTGGACCAGCCACAAACCAGCCATTACATGGTCCTAAAGTGGCTTTGCTGGTTTTTGAAACATGATAACTGGTTTCTAGCAAGTCTGAGCTGGTCATTTTGTGAGACCAACTTGGATCAGCAACAAGGTTGTTATGCTGGTTTTTGAATCAGTCAGCTAGTGACCAGTTTAGACAGATGCTAAAAATCAGCTAACATGTTCTAAAACACAGATGTGGATATGCATCAGCATATATTGATGTTTTGACACAACCATAGTTCATTTTGGAAGGTTTAGGAGCGAGAGCTTCTCGCTATGTCATGCAGAAGAAACTGAAAGTGAATGAGCTGAAAGAGGAGTTGCAGAAGCGTTGGCTGGACACCCTAGGCCTCAAAGTGGATCTGGTGGAGCGGCTGCAGGCGGCTCTGGAGGCTGAAAAGGAACCCACCTGCAATGATGAGACAGAAGCAGGTAATCGAGTTTGCATGCATGAAGATCATTTGATGCATGCTTTGACTAATGAAAATGAAATCGCACTCAGCCTAAACATTTGTGATCTCATTGCTTGTTTGCCTGTGACAGGTGTTGCAGAGGCTGGGAATGATGAGTGTTCTGACCGAGGGCAGATGGCTGCTGAGAAAGAGGGCTCTTATATATACCCCAGGGTTTCTGAAGTCTCTAAAGATGAAAATAAAGCAGAGACTGTGGATGTACAACAGGCAACCGTTGAGACAATCTGCAAAGAGGGTAAGACTGCAACTGCCATTTGTGGGTTTGAATGCATTTCATCAGCAGTTTTGAATTTTGTGAATCTTGTTCATGTAAACGTAATTACGAGTTAGCAGTCAAATGATGTAGATTTCTAAGATTCTTAGAGAGCAGGGTGTTCGATGACTGAAAAAAAAGCCAAAATATATATGATATAGATTTCAGTTTAAAGGTATCAAATAACACATGCTTTAGTGAAGTTTTATGCATTTTACATAATGTTTACTGAATTAGAATAAATCATTTGAAAATGAATCAATATGAAAAATAGCTTGTTATTTTCACATTCTATTATCTTATAGTTTTCACAAATAAAGACACATTTAAAAACACAAATAAAAGGAAGTAAACACAGTAACCAAAAGTGCACTCAGTAATCTGGTAAAGTCATATTTTCTCAAATGAAGACCAAGTAATTCTAATTTTACATAAAGTACACAGTGAATATAACAGCGGCCAACTGTATACAACATAGCATACAGTAGTGTGAAATCAAAGGATTTAAAGTGTGCCGGCGTTGTGTATCGAGTGACAGCAGAACTCTCCTCTCTGCATCCAATTTGCATATTCACGGCACTGTAATAATACAAATTAAATCAAATACAAATAATAAAAATTTTAATCCGGCTTCCGACACTTATTGACCAAACAGAAAAACACAAAGGCTGATGTCACTCATTAAAAACTGCTGAATATCGACTTTGGCAACATATCAGTCTACCACTAATATATTTACATTTAGTCATTTAGCAGACGCTTCCAAAGCGACTTACAAATGAGGACAATTTTCTCCACTTCATGGTAAAATAGGTAAAATTATTGTGTTATTTCATTATTGCAGATTTATATAAAGCTTAGCAGTTGCA